AGCATTAAAAATTTATAGCAAGCTCAACACCAAAATCTTGAATGCTGATTGGGTTTTTAAGTCTGCTAAAGTCACCAAATATGTAGGGTGTGTAAAAGAGACAAAAACCCTAAGATGAAAAATAATGACTGGGGGAGAAATAATGACATCAATAGCGTGACAATTGCTTTTCAGGGCTTTGCCATGAGATCTTTTCAGGAATTTAAAGTGGCGGGACTTGATGCAAAAGAGCATTTACTTTTCAGCGATGCAACTGAGGTTAAAAAAAGAAAGGAATGAGTTTGCACCATCAACTATAAAGAGCGAAGCTTCAAATAAGTAGCTAACAACTAACATGCACGTTGAAGAAAACGAAAGGAAGCACAAACGACCAGCAAATGGAGATGGGTTTTCAATAAAAAGGGAACGGGAAGTGATAGGACCTTCTAGAAAGATTACCCAGTCGCCTGGACTCTGAGATGGGCAGTGGGGCAAAATATCTGCAAAAGACATAGTTGTAAGTTATTTGCAATGCAGCTCATCATGTCCAACACTGATCATTTAAAGCAATACTACAAGTGTGGGCCTAAATGGAAGCTCGGTCTACATTCCTCGTTAAGGAGCTCCAAAGATAGGCTTTAAATCGATATAAGCTGTCAAGTTTCGACCCGTCTCTGATCTGCCCTTCTTCTTTAAACAATTTTCTTGATTTTTATCTCATCCTGTTTCTTTGTGAGGTTAACTATGATTGGTACGCTTGTCCTCTTTGATAAATCTTTAGGTTGCCGCGGATTAGGCACCCTTACCGAGCATGTTCATATTGACTAAGGCCACAGAATAGAAATCATTTCTAACTTGTGCTAAGGCAAGGCGTACAAATTGTGAAGAATTCTGTCCTGATTTAAGCGCATTATACGTCTGAACAGTTGGGAGACGTTCTTTGGCAATGTGCGCAGATTCATCGTCTTTATGTTCTCGATTCTTCTTTACAATGATCTTTTAGACATTCATTTCATTTTCAAGTGCAAACTCGTGCTCTTTTTCATTTTCTCAATAAATTCTCAACATTGGACAGAGGGCAATCCGTTGGAAAGTGGAAGAAGGATGGGGACAAAGGGGCTTCCTTTTCTTTTGTATTGAAGGGACATGCATGTGAACACACTTTTTCTCTAGGAAAAGTTCCTGGGCACAACCTGGGCCTACCAGCTCTAACATCATCGTGTAACAAACCAAAGAGAAAATAAGCTTCTCTTCTGTTCCTTGGTTTAAAATGGCCGTTGAGAATATTGGTTTAAACTTTAAACCAAACTATCGACCTTTGAACTCAGTCAGTTTTTCACTAGATCGTCTTCTCCTGGAGATGTTGAAACCACGGGGGGGGGGGGGAGTTCTGAGCTAAATTATGGGTAGGGGTCTGCTGCGAGCACATTCAAAGTGGTACCGTTGGCTAGACCAATTTCTACAGAAAGAATGCCCCTGGCAAGTATATTATTGAAAACAATTTCCTTGGCTAGATTTATTTTCAAGCCTTTTGCGTTAGCAGCTATCTCAAAATTGTTGGTTTGAACTCGGAAGTGTCAAGCGTCGATTTGTTTCATTGACTAGTTTATTTAAAAAAAATGGGTCGTCAGGAGAGATTTTCATTTTCAAAAGCCTTTTTCTAGACCAATATTATCAAATATGATACCCTTGGCGGTGCATCCCCTGGTACCTTTACTATTGAAGAGTCCCCCTCCCCGTGTTTGAAACAGTGCTTCTGTTCTGCCTCACGGTAGATAAATGCATCATAAACATCTTTCACTTCAATCGTTAAAATGACCCTTAACCTTTAATAGCATCCTGTCAAATAATTCTATTCGTCTATCTATGGCAAACCAACAACTATTTTAGGGCACCGGCCTTACTTCGGCAAGAATGGACTGTTGTACCAACATTATTACGCGATGAGAACATATTAGTCAATCAATTTTTGAACTCGATTTCCCAGGGTAAATTCTGTCTATAGGGCAATGTTTGTTAATGGTTTTTATTCACGAAGGCCAATTGAGGCTTGATGTTTCCGCTCGAATTATGAAATGATAAGCTTTATTTCCCAAACCAAACAAAACTTTTAGACCATCCATCCGGATGCCCACTGTTAGAAATAACCATCAGTAAATAAAGCACAATCGTTAAGCCCAGAATTCCGATTTTCCTTTCTATTCCACTTTCCTGTTGAAAAAATTACCAGCCATACTACAGCAAAATCTGAACGAAAGCCAAGTTCAAACAAAACGAGCCTGCACGGATTGTATTGTAAAGTTAGAATTTTCCAATCTTTGTAACCCAAAGAAGCAACATCAGGTTTCAAAGTAAGCATTAGCAGATCCAGTCAATGTAAAAATAAATCTACATTATACAGTAACCAGAAGAATACAAACATCAGTGCTAACAATATGTGTGGCAAGCCGTACCATGCACATAAATTAGGTTTTTCAGCTTAATCCAGGTAGCACGGCACGGAGTTTTTACATCAAAGCAGCCTAAAGTTTCTCTTCCTTGTCCTACATCAGCAATATGTGTGTACTGAGTAGCTAGAAATATATTCAAATCGCAGAAGGGATAAGAGAGTTGATGCCTTATAAACTGCAACTATTGACACTAGTTGTATAAAAACATACATCGTAGAAACATGCTCAGAAAGCCTCAACATGCACATTTGAGCCTCAACAAAACGCGAAACATTTATGGAAAAATCAACGCAGTACAACTAGCTGAAAACATTCTTACTGTAAACTCTCTTTCAAGCCCCCCGGGGGCTTGTTGTTTTTCAGCGCTTATAAGATAGGGGGCTTAATTAATTTTTCCTTCTGAAAAGAGGGGGCTAATAAGAGGTGGCGGGCTTCATTGAGAGGGGGGGTTAAAAAGAGAATTTACAGTGCTTCTCTTTGAAAACGGGGCATTGAGAGGGGGGGGCAAATTCTCCCCATGGCCTCTGTCTTTGTATGCATATTTCCTAATTCTAAATTGATTTTTATATGCATGAAAGAGCTTAGAAATTTTGACAAAATGGCGGATGCTGATTGTAAGATAGCCCTTCCCTACAGGGCTAAGAGCATAACTTGAAAGATTATGGAAAGGTTATAGATATTTTCTGGGTCAGAATGTTTTCGTTAAAAAGCAAATTAGACTCCATTTTTAGTTGAAAATGTTCTAAATATCAATCATTATGTTTAGCATGTAAGCTTAAGGCATAAACAAAAGTTTGGCGTGGAAAGTTCTTATACTTCTAGTTACATGTTACTAAATAGGCACTGAGTTGGCCCAGAAACTTTCTCATATTTAGGAAATACAATTTGGTAATTATTTGATATTGAAGTTTACATGCTTTTTAAATGTTTAAAAGCATAAGGAATTGGTAAATGTGCAATGCAACGAATGATGCACCATGAGTAACACGCCATGAATGACATTTTATTTTTCTCTATGAAGTCGTCTAATTACCCTAAAAGAATATGCTTTTTTATTTTTCTAAGGCCCCTGAGAGACCATGAAGACATACGTGCGCGTTTCAAGTTCTAAATTGGCAACCTGGGTTCTGAGCGTTTGTGCTTTACTTGCGACCACTTTGAATGCAGAATTGATTTTCATCAGCCAGCAAAAATTAGTGGTCGCAAATCGATAGTTTCTTAAATTAAGACTCTTATGCTCTTATTGCAAAAATTAAGACTCTTATGCCAGCTCTTACGTCAGTGCGTTCCCCAGTTCTCCCTGAGGTCGATTTTCAGATTTCTCGAAATCTCTTGAAAACTTTTTTTCGGGGGAGGGGGTTTTTTGAGGGAGATGCTCGTTGACCAAATCGATTTCGATTTTTAATCTTGAAAAAATGCTCCTGTTATGAAAAATGCTACTCGAAAAAATCGCTTTTCTAAAAACTTCGAAGCAGAGCAAAAAAACTAAGAGGCATATCCAACGTTTTCTGAGAGTATAAAGGGCGTGGTCAAGAACATTTTTGTCCACCCCAGTTTTTATGGACTGGCGACGCCACTGAGAAGCGTTACCCTTAACCACGCCCCAGGACTTTACAAACCTCTCGGTGGAACTTGAATTGAAATAGGATTTTCTTCCCTTTGTTTTACCTGACACCTTCAGAAGAAACCTTAGAGCTTAAACAGAACTACACACGCTATACATAATTAATGCACTAGGGTATAACAATTTTCCACCTTGCAGCGGTTTATGCGATTATTTACGTTGGTTCAAAAAAGTCTGAAAGCAGCATTCTAGAACGGACTTTCAACTGCTTTTTTATATAAAAGTCACGCAGAAGTCTGAGTTCCCAGTTTTTCATTTTATTGTGCCCCGCTCGTAATGTCTGCTAAGGTTACTTTCTCCAAACCAAACTCTTCAAGAAAAATAAGCAAATTGGAAAACAATATTAATTCATAGCTTAAATATCCATCAAAGTACTCTCATTGCCAAGTTTTTTCTTGAATGCAGTTTGTCAGTAAGTTTCAATCCTCAATGCCATTGCATACAAAATACATACATTCAATGTCGTATAGAAATACACTGCAAATACACGCAACTTTAGACATTGCTAGCACAAATACATCCAGCAAAAAAACATCAGTTTTTAAAAGCCAGTTCACTCTTTCTTCGGTTTCTACCTGCTAAAAAAGTAGTTGTAAAAAATCGCGTAAAAACACTTCTACGCCATTTTCAAACTCACCCTGACCCACTTTCACTATTAATATTCTGTGAGGTAGGATACATACAAAGTTTCGTGGCAACGATGGTTTTATTCAAAGGATACACTTACAGCAGATGCAATTATCAATCTATTTGAGAGATTGAAAAATAGCTATCTGGAGAAATTGTAGGCCAAAAACAGAAAACCACGTTGGTAAAATAGTAGACCTGGTCCAGTCGATGGAATGTGTGTGTGTTTTCTTATGTAAAACGAAACTGACAAAGGTCGTTCAGATGATCCGAAATGGTTAAATAATGCAAGTACGAGAGGGACAATAAAAAACATGGCATTTGATAGTATGACATTCACATGTTTAGACAAATAAACATAGTACAGTTAAAATCAACGACTAAAACAACTAGCTAACTGCATCGAAATCAAGTTTATCTAACAATATAAGAATCAACTGTTCAACTACGTGCTTAAACTTCTTTATACAAACAGTCAATAAATATGCCTTCATAGCCCTTTTTACAGTACATTTATATATATATATAATACGTTGATAAGTAAAGACAAGGTCGTTTATTGGTAAGAATGATGATGAGCTGAAGTTACACCCGCTTGCTACGGGCGTGTGCTTTTCTACACTTTACAGTTCAGCAAGTGCTAATGTGACATGTTGTTGTACGAACTTAGGCCTCATTTCCAATTTCCGTTTTTCTACAATAACGAATAAAAATTAATCCTTTTTTTGCAGACAGGTGATCCCTAAAGCGCAGGCAATCGTTTCTGCATCGTATTTTTCAAGTGGGCACAGTTTTTTTGAGGATGTATGATATAAGGTCTCATTCAAGTCTGATTTGAAGATATAAGGTCTCATACATAAAAACAGTAAACACCCGTGCAGCGAATATGTAGCCAGCAAAGGACCATTCAAGATTCAAATACATGTTGTTTTAAAATATGGTTAATATTTTTCCGTAAAAGTCACCTATAACACTGATTCTAAAAGTTTTAGCTGGCCTTACATCTTCTCTTGGTTGACAAGTCAATGCGCAATTCCTTATGCATTTCGTCTTCTTAAGTACCTTCTAATTAAATAATCCTCTCATATACTCTGACTAATATCAACAACCTAATCTGCTGCCCTGTACGTCTAAGACACAAATGCAGCCAGCCATAACAACAGTGCTGTAAGTCTTTGTTTTATAATACGAGCAAGAAAACGATGTTGCAGGTCAGGGTACATATCAACCGTAGATTTACAATATCAAACAGCTGTGCTAAGATAATCGATTCAAAAAGCTCAAAAAGACTGGGTTCATCTAGCTTTTTCACTTAACTTAGTTTTTTGAAGCAATGAAGGTAGTTACACTAGATTTTAGCAATTTGAAAAAGGCAGGTATCTTAACTTGACTCACAAAAGCTACCTAAATTGAGAGATACAGAAGGCAAAGGACCTCTAACTATGGACAAAATTCGGAACAAAGAGAAACTGGTTTAATTCTCATAACATTGACAGTAACTGGCAAGTGCGAAAATCTATCAATAACATACTTACAGCTATGTTTTTGATGCAAAGAAACAGACGGAGATGACATGGCCCAAAGTTAGGGTTACGAATATATGATGAATAAATGGATCCAAGAAACACCAATCCAGTCAATGTTGAAAGATGACACATTGTTTAGAGCAATACACTCCCGAATGCTAGGTGATTATCATTACCAAAATGCATTGACAAGTGTGCACAACAAGAGGCAGCCCGGTGTGGTACTTCGATTTGAATACAAAATGATCATAAACGATTCAAATAGGGCCTAACAGGCAGGAAGATGTCAAAGAAAACCCTTGAGAAGAATTAACGACCACAAAAGGAAAGCACGATGCTTGGCTACTAGGGTAAGAAGGTTTAGGGCGCAGCAAAAGGGTACTAGCAGTAGACCGCTTAAACTGGGTTTATCTCGATCCAGCAGAACAATGACATGGCACAGCCACATCGATTCCGAGACGTTCCCAGTTCAATCATTTGCATCTCTTTAATTTAGAGGCACAAACCTTTTGCTCAATTGTAATGTTTTGATAGGGGTAGAAGCGACACTAAAATTAACGAAAGGAAAAGGTGAAAGCAGAGCAAAACAGTTAAAACCTCTTTATTGCATCGACATATTATGAACTACCAGTCATAGTCTCTATTCCAGTCATGAAGTGAATCAAGGATCTGTATCTCAATCCCAGCTACGTTCCAGTCATAACAATAGAAACATGAGACTTTTACCAGTTGGTTACCAGTTGACGGTAATTTGACTACAATCATTCAAGAACGCCACCAAAAGAGGAAAACAGCTCGGAGAGATCAAGAGCTACCGTGAAAAGTCAATCAGGACTAGTACCTTCAAACCAGAAATGAATAATTCTTCAAGATAAGTATGAATTGCAGAACGAAATGAAAAAATATCACAACACAGTGAGATATCACAACGTATCAAAACAATAATAAGCCACAGTGGAGAAAGCTTCAAGTCAACCCAAATTAAAAAAATCATATCACATCCACAAATCGCATTTTCGTAACCTTAGTTATTTTAACATCATATTGAGATAATGTATCAATAGAAGTCTTTGCCCATTTTACATGTTTACTGAGGCTAATAGCTTTACTTTTGAAAACAGTGAGCGGTGATTTTATCATTACAAAGTATTTGCCGATATAGCTATTGGACCAGGTTAGAAGAGTTAGAAGGTAAAAATTTCAGTTACAGAGATTTGGACCATGACAAACGAGCAAATGAAAGCAGTAAGGGTGGTAAATTAATCCGTATAGAGATCATGCAGCTAACTTAGTGTTATTATCGATAAAGGCTTTCCACAATTGTTGCATTTACTCATGCAATTCCTCACCAAAACAAGTTTAAGCACAGAATTACGAGGGTAACTTCAATTAAAATTTTATCAGCAGAGTCACCGAGCCTCTAAAACAGGCCTTTGGTGTACAGTTGTTTACAACTTCCACTTACGATTGCATTGCAAAGGTTTCAGGAAAAAGGTTCCAGGAAAAAGGTTTCAGGAAAAAGGTTTGTAAAGAGTTTTGGTAAAACTAATCGGGGCTAACTGTAAAATAAAAAAGATTGAGTTTTATCTGAAAAATATAATTAAATTTAAAAAAATACCAATGGCCAGGCAATCGTAAATGAAAACATTATTGTACCAGCAGCATAATACACGGGATACACCGGCGAATATACTTTTATCTACAGTAATATATTGTGTTTTGCGATTTCGAGGTAAGCATTGTCTTACGAATCGTGTTATTTGATCAAAATTTACATTTATAGTTCTTTGTAAAGTTTTTAAAAAGTGGGACACTCTAGTTGAATCCTAAAGGTCACGTAAAATGAATTCTGGTAGTCAGTGGAAACGATCAAGGGCTCAAAAACATTCGATGGCCATTGTTCAGAACAGAGAGGTTTTCATCCCGAAGGTTATCCCCTAGACAAAGTTTGTAACATAACATGTTGTAGCGGAATTAGAGCCCATCTCATTGGAAAACTAAATGCATAAATGCTTAGTTTGATTTGAAATCGTGCATATTAGGAAGGAAATTGTGGGTTAACCGAGCATGTTGCAGCGATTTCTTGATATTCAGGATCTTGTTCGAAAAATGCAATATCAAGTAGTTGTTAAAGATAACACTAGGATCGAGGTAGTTTTACAAAGAGCCAATACTTAAAATCATGCACCCAAAATTAAGGAATCCCTTACTCTAAAAAACCGTACCTGAAATGGCACTAACCCAGTTATACGTCTGTGTGATAAAACTGCAAATATGCTGGATATAGCGACTTCTTTTAGGATTCTGTAATGCACGTTAGTGTGAGACATCCGTTATGCACAAGTACCTTTACTTACGTACTGGCAGAAGTGGAGACTTGAGAGCCAGGAGACATATTCACGGCCATTCTTGGCACCAATGGCAGTGGGTAGAATGGCGAGTTTTGACTGAAAAGGATTTTACCCTTCGTCTTATCGGGGCCACGAGTTGCAAGATCATTAAACACGTAGTCTTCTTTCCTACAGTGAAAAGAAACAAAAACATGCTTAAAATGTAAAGTTATTCGTTAAAAGACAGCGTGTTCAAACAAAATTTCAATTGCATGCACAATCGTTATAACCGCTGGTGAAATACTGATAAAGATTCATATGTTCGTTATTGAATGGCTTAGCCCAAAATAATTGTAACCTGATTGGTTTAGACCAAGCTATACAACCAAAAAACCCCCGTCCACAGAGGGTTACTTCTTCTATATAAAACGTTACACCAGGACCTGAGCAATGCTGTCTGTATTTTTCTTGGTAATTGCATCCGGGGGTTTTTCACTATAATTCTCTTGGGTGAAAGAATTATTGAATATTAGGAATAAAACCAGTCGGTAGAAAAATGTGATTGTTTTTCATAAGAATAATATAAATTTTGTCCAGCCTCGGTATTCTTAAGAAACTTTCGTTTAGAGCCTGAATATATTCTTAAAGTTTATTGTTTTTCAAATCTGATGTGGTTTCTGGGGAACATCGCCCACCTTTGAATGAAAACCACGCATTTGAAAAAATGAGATGTCAGTCATGCGATACTCTGTTATGAAAATCCCAAAACAAGCAACTGTTGAAAATATTAGACACAAATATTCGAGGCTGAGCATTATTCGTATAATTTTCTTTAAAATTTGATGATTCTAAGCCTGAATAATCTTATAAACAACATTTTTATAAAAAAAGAGTGTAGCGAACAAACAAAACGAGGAATACCAGCAAGTATCTTTGCACCTATCAATTCAGAAAACATAATTTGTAAACGCATTGGTCGTGAATTTTGACCTGATTGTTGGCGAAAATTAATGGATAACCCAGGGATGCGCGGGCAATTCATATGAAAATCACATCAGTTTAAGACGTCATCTCCTTCTATTTAATACTTATTGGCAAACGGAAAGCAAGTGAAATACAAGGTATCTTGTTAATTGGAAGTTGCGCTAAGAAGTTAGTTTGAAATGCAAAGGCAATATTACGATGTTTGCACCAATTAATTCAAGCTATGTACACATTGCCAACACTGATCTTTGCTAAAAATGCTTAACGCGACTCAGTGTTACCGACAAAAGGTCTTCTTGTTAGGAAAAATTTGATTTTATCAACTCTGGATTACAGCTAAGAGATAAGTGGTGAGCAGCGATGACTGTTCTTCAAGAATGAAATGCTTGAAAACATAATTGAAAAAATCGATCATCAATTGTACGAAAATGCAGCAGGTGTTCCTGAGAATGGATTCAACTTACAATTCAGTGCTCTCCACATGAGATGGGACTTTCTCGGCACCATCTGGTGGACCACGTGTAAACAAGAAGTTTGGCGATGAAGAGAATTTTGATGAAGAGCTGTTGCTTTCTGGAGATTGGTTGTCTTGCATTGTGGCACCAGTGGAGGAGGACCTTGATGATGGCCTCGACTCTGGAATCCCACCAGGTGCGATGGGCCACGAAGGCGAGGTTGACTGACTTCTACTGTTCGGTCCACTTGTATTGGCAGCTGGTATGTTTATATAAAGTTCAGATGGATCAATAAGACCATTTGACGTCTGAGTGTGACTGTCTACATTGCGGGGGAAATAACCAGCAAAGGGTGCCTTGCGGCCTTCTGGGGTCTTTTCAGTCTGCAAAAAGGATAAACATATTTCAGTGACATACAGAATACAGTACGAATGAATGCTGAAATATATACTGCAAGCATGTTAAATACTGTTTATCCCCTCCCAATCGTCATATTTCAAATCATGTATTGGTGAAGGTGAGGGTGTTCGAGGTGAGTGTAATCTTAACACTATCCTTTCAGGGTTGCAGGTAAAGATGTGGTTTTAATCAACACACAGAAATGCCACATTCCTTAAATAGGAACACCAGCAAAGGTTAATACAGCCATCTCAAGAAGCAAAAATGGAACATATTAATATCACTCAATGTGAAATGTTTGATCATTTTTTTATAAGATTGATTCGTGTAACCATATCAACTTAATAGAAATATTATATGATAAAATCGAGAATTAAGTACCTTGGGCATTTTGGAGAAAAAACAGAATGCTGTTTATATTTTTTAGTTAAATATAAGTTAAATCTTAATAGTTCTAATAGAATAAGTAGATATTAAAGAAACATTTGTAATAAGGACCATTATGGTTTTGAATTGAATTTTACTTTCGGGTCAAGGAAACCTTTAACGCCAATTGGCCTTGTAAAGTGTTGATATAGATGTAGACGTGAAACACGACTGACTTTTTGCATTGTAATTTCGTTTCAAAATGACCGTTGAAATATCTGAATGGATAGGGGTCTTACGCCTATACTCACGTCATTTGGTATGTAAGTACCGTTAAAGACAACGACAAGAAATTTCCATATAGTAGAAACCAGCATAAAAGAACCTGTTTTTATAACAACATTGAGGCTGAAATTGAACCTTTGAAACCCCATAATCAAGAACCCCCTAGAGGCTGAAATTTGGAAAGGTTCTTATATATATCAAATTAATAAATGACAAAGAAAACAGCATAAAGTACTGAAGACATGCCTTTTCATTGTAATTAAGCCCAAGTTCCTGAACCAGTGTCTCGATTTCCGGGTTGAGCCCCTCAACACTCCTCCTTGTGTGCAGATTGGTCGTCTTTGGGTTGGATGGAATCGGGATGGCTCTCGAATGAATGATTCCAGTTGAAAAACTTGTCTGAGGACCAACAGCAGAATGATCGCCTTGCAACGGAGACTGTTTACCGTGGATAGGCTGGGATTGTTTGGTTCTTTGTAAGAACTGTTTGAATTTCTAGGAACAAAACAGACAGGGATGAGACAACCTAATACAACAGTTTTTCGGTGGTTACGATCTCAGGGCCCAGGCTTGACGAGTTTCAGATACGTTACCATTATATAGTACATTTGTACAATGGTGTTGTACGCATAAAATTGGCTTTTATTGAAATATTCTGCCCTATGCTTGGTTAACTTGACAAGCTTGTCAAACGTTCAGAGAACGTGAAATTCACTATTACTAGCAGCAGAACCAAGCCACAAACATCAACCAACTATAGAGCCTTTTAAGGTGTCTAATGACTATATGGCTCTGAATTTTTTAATGCAAAAAAGACAATGGTTGCTCTTTATTATCAGGTAAACTTTACTTGAGGGAATCTTTTCTCTCAAAATATCACATCAAAGAAACGTAATCGACAACCTATATTACTTTGCTCTAGCTTAAAAGCTATTTTTGAAGTTATAATAGCAATGCATTAAAAATCCACGTTCCAACCAAAGATCATAAACAAATTCAACTGTTCCTTGGCTTAAGCATACGCCCTTTTTAAAAATGCAGGTTTATCAACAGCCATTTCCAAAGCAAAACGTGAAGCAATGCATGCTTCTTCCTGAAGTGACCTACTTGATTTTCACAAGAAATGAATAATTCATTAAACTGACATGAAAATAGTGTTAAGGATTTAAGCTAAACTGGCTTGTTTCTAAAAGTCAAACAAACACCATTCTAAGGCATTTTTCTAAAAGAAAGTATAAACTCAATAGCTCTTTCAATCTGATATTTAAAGCTCTTTGCAGAAATTCCATAGAAAGTTGTGTAACTTATGCAATGAAGATTATCAACTTCTCTACTTTTTAAAAAAAGTTGAGGCAATTTTATAATAACTCACACAAAAGGAGTCCGTTCGTGTTATAAACGGGTGTAAAAATGTGACATTGCGGTTGCAAAATTAAGGTGGCTGGCTTTTGTAAAGAGAGGAAAAAGAAACAATCCCGCGGTAAGCTTAAAATTGGTGGGGAGGGGAGTAGAGGGGCAAAGTAGAGGAGGGGGGAAAGTTCTTAAGGGTAGCATGCTTCTAATATTAGCATACTGCGAGTTATTGTGGACATGCAACTGTCAAGTTTGTCAAAGATGAAGGTGGCCATGGTAGTGGTCGCAGAATACCAGATGCTGTTTCAACGAATCTTCTGGCAGATTATTAATGATCCACTTTATGTCATTATTTCGCAAAATGTGATCCAGTCACCCCCCCCCCCCCAACAGACTCATTCTTGAGTTGAAAAACAGCTAGCAGTTGTTTCAGTTAATGGGGAAATAGCTAAATCTTGCATGTCCTGATTTCAAGATTAGGCTGAGCCACGCCACTTTAAAAGGGGTACCAGAAAGAGAAGATGTACAACTACTGTTTATTACCAGTCACGATTCGGGGTGTTGCTTTACGTTGCATTCTAAGTGCTCAACAATGCATTCTAACGACGGGTTATTTACAAAGTGTGGGTAAAATGTCGCCACCTTGGCTGGTGGCACTGCGTTGCATTAAAGCAAGTCAAAGATTGTTGTTTGAAAAATTCTACCAGCAGCATTTAAACCACTGCCAAAATTTTTGAGGTAACTGAATCAGGCCTTTGTGAAAATATTTGATACGTCACTTACTGTTATGTCTCATTAGAAACTCGTTTACAAAACTAAAAACCATTAGTGTTCAACGATGCCAAATAGGAATATTTGAAAATGTTAGGTTGGGTGGTGTTGTTTATTTTCACAAATCAAGGTGAACACATGTATTTGCTACACAATGAATCATTTTTAGTGCTAATGGTTACTATCATTATTCATATGACTGCTGCATATCGTGACGGAAAACAATACGTAGTAACGAGGGCTGCGAAAAGATATTATAAATTGGAACATGGAAATTTCACGACACGATGAGGAACACCCAATTAACCTTTGGATCAAGTGATGGATCCGATAGACCTATGGATCTAAGCAGAACTGAATAAAGAATAAATACTATAATATTTGATTAAACTCTTCAACGGGAAGTATTGAAACTTCTTCATTATGTACACCACTTGTTCCTCCCTGCTTTAAGTTTCTTTGTGGCAAGCCAAATAATTCAATTCTTTGTGCTTATAACAATGTCTACATTCAAAGTACAAAGAAAAATACAGATCTAGAGCTGATCACAGTAAAACAGAAACTGTATACACACCTGCCTTTTATATGCAGTTATTTTTGTATGAACAATTTTCAATGAACTCTATTTGCCTAAAACGTTTTTTTTTCAAAATTCAAACAACTTGAATGGGTAACATGTGTTCTAAACTGCTCCCATTATCCAATGGCTACAACAAGGAGTCTCATGGCAGTTTCTTTGTGATGTAGGCTGTGCATGATATTAAGGCTTAATTTTGGGAGTGGCTTAGCACAGATGTAACCTACATATGAGTACAAACAGCAGCTTATCAGCAGTTTTTTAAATGAGTATTCCACCATTCTGGTGCCAGTAATCTTGAGATTTTTGAAAAAGGTGTTGTAATTTTCAGGTCTTCCAACATTCAGTGACTATCATGTGATGATTAAGACAAAAATTAGACTAAAATAGGTTTTATTCTTATATGCAAACAGTTTTGTATATCTTTACAAAGATGGAGACAGTTGCTTTGGAATTAGTGATTTGAATCCTGAAAATGCTTTGGAATGGTCAATGTCTAACTGCCTGTTCATGAAATAAATGAAAATAGGGAAGTCATGCTTGCTATTACATTGTGATTGTGATGCTATCATGCAATTTCAGCAGTTCACCAACTATCAACTCATTCACAGAAAACAATGATCTATCACCTGCTTACTTACTGTTATTTACACATTGTCAATGCCATTGGCCACTGCACAACAATTACCTGCTGCATTGAACATGTAGTGGTTGTTGCTTGTTCTCATTATTAGATCATGTCCTGGTATTCTCACTATTCACATCTTATTCTCATAGGGAGCTCTACCAATATCACAGGTTTTGCTTGATACTTTCTCTATACCATGGCCCATCCAGATTCCAAAACAAATCAAACTTTTGAGATACATTTATAGGAACACAAGACTTTAAAGTAGCTAGGAAAGAGCCTGACAGAAAGAGCTGCATATGACAAACTTTACCTCTTTGGTATCACTTCCTATAGAATTTGACCTCTTGTGGTTACTTCTCTGATTTTCTTCTGTTACATCATCTGGTCCAGGTAGAGTCTAGAAAAGAATTTGATAAATATGTTTCTAAATTTAATAGTAGAGTGTCATTATAATATGGAAACAAGATGCTTCTTCTCATCTATCAAGACTTTCAAAAATTCTTCTTATCTATCAAGCAGCTCTATTTCAAATCTCTTAGCCTCAAAATATAACAGCTATTTTAAAATAATTTGCATCTTTTTCTTATTTTAAAGTGAAAAACTTAAGTGCTGCAGCTTAAGTGTTCTGACATAGCAACAGCCCAGTAGCGTTATGCAGTTTAAGGCACCTTAGTTCAATAACTGAGCCCCCACCAAAAGAGGCTCTAAGTAAGATTCATACTTAATGTTTTGAGACTTTGCTCAAGTTCAACTAATTTTCAAAAACTTTCGAAACTTTTCAACTGAAGCTTTTATAACTCAGTTCTGCACCCTTGCGTGGGAGTTTCTTGCAGTCCAAAAAAGGGATCTCATCACAGTTTTCCCTTAGGACCCTAGTTGTCTCTGTTTCGCCACTTTAACAGAGGGTCTTAGTGGAGCAATTCCCACAAATATAATTTTGTCCATTTTCTTTAAACTTTTCCTTAGGTGCTGATTTTTAACATTCCGCACAAAAAAGGTTCACATGGATTTGGTAATGCCCAAGCATGGATTTGGGGGACACCCTTTAAAGAAATTGACAGAGCATTATTAAAAAAATTTATTTGCCTTGCTTTATTGATATTTACCCTTACTTGATTTACATTGGCCATGCTGATGAAAAAAGTTGTTTATTAAATGTTGTAATTTATAGATGCACAAACTTAGCATTTTTTATATACTGAAAATGTGCTAATGCTTGAAAGGCAAGGCAAATGAAAGAATTAAAATGAAAAAAGTTAATCCAAATAGAACCTAAAACAGTATTGTAATATTTTAGATATATAATATTTAAGACTTCCATCTGACAATTATAAAATCTAAACCCATTTTCTGTTGCACACAAAAAACAATAAAATTAATCCATGACATACTTGTGTTCCTTTATTGCATGTACTCTGCACAAATGCTGAAGCGCCATCTTTTGGCCATTGTCCATTCATATATGAGCTGGATAGTGTTTCAAGGGAATTTGTCCGGGCAATGCCAAGGCGAACAGGTCTTGGCTTGTCACCTAAAAACAATGCAGAAACTAAATATGGTGAAAAACTGATAAACTCAATAAATCTAGCCAAATACCATGCAGGTACCATACATGGAATATCTCTTTAAACAGACCCCTCTCAAATAAGCCCCCTTTCTGTAGGCTAATTTTCTTACTAAGTCCCCACCCTTGAATAAGTCTCCACCTAGCAATGATGATTTCAGTCTATGATAGGTAACATTTCAAACAGAAATCAAAAATAAGATAGGTTAAGCATTTTTGCAATGTATATCAACATTGCTGGTATTTCAGCAAAGCGGGCTTTAAGCGTTGGTATTGCAGTTGACCACAGAAGGAAGAATCGCTCCACTGAATCTTTGCAAGCCAATATTTTTGTCAACATTGATTTGCAAAAAAATTCATTTCCAAAGAACCTAAAGAAAATGAAATGCCTTTAAAAACAGCTATTTGACTGGCAACTTAAGATAATTTTTGTAAACCTCGCCATTGAGAGTCCCTCAAAGTGGCCCCATGCCCAAACAAATTTCAAATTAATAGCAGACCTGGTTGTAAAAATTCTGGAAGGCAAGTGGTAAATGCTCTCCTTGTTGGAGTAAGGGGGTGATTTTAACAAAATGCAAAATTTATCAAGGCATTTTTTTGGGCCCATTTATAAAAGACCAAACAAGTTAGAAAAAAAATGGTCTTGAAAACAAACATAAAACTTTAACTTGAAACTCTTCTCAAAAACCTTTTGAAAACATCTCTATTATGGACTTTAGAGAACACTGCTAACACACTTAGGTGAAAATGACATTTGAAAACACTTTCCTCATTTGGCTACAACATGAACATTCCTCTTTGAACATTAACCACTCAGACCGACGTAAATTTTATTAGTTGAGTTTCTGACATCATATTTCACTTAAAATAATGAGATTTGAATTCCATTATGTTTTTCTGTCTGTGAAGTATTAAAAAGACAGACAGGCATGATGTTTTCTCTAGCTTCATCAAACAAACCATCAAATATCATGGCCAATGCTAAGGGTCAGGCCAGATCAAACATGTGCATGGTGCAAGAGAGTTGTATTTGTTAATGTTGAGTGGACAAATTTTTTAGAATTGACAAAAATATCTAACAAAATTTTTGAAATGTGTGAATACAAGAAGAGGCAGAGTATACAAGTTCTCAAGCGATCTAGGAGGTTGCTTAATTGCCTACCTCAAATGGCCATGCATTTTAACAAGCTTTTTTGGCTGGAGGGCAACTTCTTAAATTTTGGGCAATTATGCTACCAAGTTTCTTAGCAAGTTTTGCATATGTGTTTCAAACATTTTAGATAAAGAATCCCTTTTAAAGGGCATTCAATGTATGTAGTTAGATTTGAAAGAAAATACTAACAAAACGCTGGGCCAAAAGATTTCTTGCAAAATTGAGGAATTCAGTTTTCTTTCCTACTGAATAATTGACAATATAGGGTTAAAGTCTGTTAACAAAGACATCTGTGTCATTGAAAACAGAGGATAGCTGTTTCTTCAAAGGGACCTTTCTTGTTCCTCAGTAGGAAAGTATTTATATGGTAAATAATAAGGATTAAGAAAATCATTATTGGCAAAATATTTGCAGCTGTTTCTACAAAGTATGCAATTAATGCTGCAAAACTAAGCAACTAAATGCACATAAGGAAGCAAATCTTTGCCATTTGGCAAATTTGATAGTTTGATAGGTCAAAGTGTTAAATCTCAAGTCATTTTCTTGGAGTTTGGTGTTTGTTAAAATTTGTACCTGTGTATAGCTGAGGCTTTTTATATATTGTTGCATCTATGTCAACTAGTAATGCATGTAGGATATACATGGTCTACAGAACATCTGCACTTTTTGACAAAACTTATCAAGGGAAACTTAATTTTGAGGGATTATATAATTCAAAGTATCATCATCATTGTGCTGCCTTATCTAAGCAATCCATTTTAAAAACCACAAATCAAGATATTTAATGACCATATTGTTGCACAATATATTATCTCAAAACTCTCCTACTTAATATCAATTTATAAAAACAATCATTCAGTGGAAATTTGGTCATTAGTGTTCATTTTGAAATTATGGCTAGGTTGCTCCATTTTATGAATTTTTTTTAAATAAATCTGTGGCAGCCTCCTCTGGCAAAAATGCATAGTTACATCAACCTTGCAAAAATATAAAAAAATGGGGCAATAAGCTCTTGAAGAATTTTTCATTTCCTCCAAAAGGCTATAGATGTTGCTAGCATAAAAAAGATCCATTGGCTTTAAAGTATTTTGAATTAGAAAGAAAACTCAAGGAGAAGCTTGAGTTATATTCTTAATCACAGAAACTGTTCAAACATAATGATGACTTAAAGATGATGATCTAATTCTATCTCAGCCTTGGATTAGAAATAAGCCAATTGAGATACAAATTGAACCAGAGGAATGTACTACTTTGATTCAAATCACAGGATGGCAAATTTTTTGCTACAAGGAATGATAACAGGAGAAACCCATGTTTCGGTTTGCCAAATATGTTTCTCTTGCTCCGCCATGATGTTGGCGTGTATAAAAATGACCTTTTCAACGTCCTTCTTTGAGTGTACCTGCAAGTTCTATTCACATGAAAGAACAAGCTATCTACCAGAATGGCCGACAAACATGTGAGAAAAGACCCAACCCAACCTAAACGTTTGAAAACAGGAGATAAAATAGTAGTGAAAAGAATCGGCCTATGGGCAAAAAACAGCACAACAGACCCAAGCTGCCCTCTAGAAGCGACTGAAAAACCGTCGTTTCAATTCGTCGGTCTGCCATTTAGGAAAAGCACTTCTCCTGGATAGAACCAACATGTTGGGACTGTGAAAGGAAATGCAACTAGAATTTAACATTCTAGCGTAGAAAAATTTCCTCTTTGCTACTAACATTTGAACGCCCAAAAGGGTAATAGGGGTCTTATCAATTTGAGGGTTCATAGACTTTAGAGTAAACATGAAAGTTGTCGAACTTAATTGCATTCCTTATTGGTAATTTCGTAAATTCACTTCTCGAATTGGCCTTTCTTTGCTTGGTGTAGACTTAATAAAGTAACAAACTGGTTTACAACTAAAATTGGCAGTTTTCACGGCCAAACTTTGTCAAACTTTTCATAGATCAAATATGTCATTTTCCTGAGGGAGCTGCACAATTATTACTGTATTAAACCAAAACTGAAACTCCGAACAACGAAATGTTGCAAATAACCTTTTCAAGATCCCTAATTCTTCAACCTTTTAAATTATCACTGTACATTCCATGCTTCTATACAGTTATTGGGCTATGTCAGGAGGATTTTGCTACGCCAAAAGTAAGCAACAATTGCAAACGCATTATTAATATTGACTGCATTAGTAACTCAATAAAGAAATATCTTCTAGTTTATGTCACATATTTCTTCGCATTGCCTTCTTGCATATTTAAACTAAGCAATAAGATACACAAAACTCCTTTGTTGTTTAGAATGTCATCTCTTTGAGGTTTCTGACACACATCACAACAGAACAACCATCATCTGACTTCCATTTTGATAGTAAATTTGCAATAATTAAAATGCACTAATTCTACTTACCAAGGGGTGAAACAAGTGTTCGGTGTTCTGAAGAAAAAACATCAGGAGATCTTCGTATTCTACTTTTTGTGGTTTCTACCAACCCTGGAGATGGAACGGGAGAGCTTTGTCTTCGTCTTGTTGGACTTGGATTATTCCTTACAAGTGAAGATATGGGGGCTGTTGCCTTGAGAGGTTGTGGTTTAAGTTTACCACTTGCTGGTGAATTATTCCTTCTTGGTCGCTGAGACGCCATCTTTGTAAATTATCGCCACAACTGGCCTAAATTCCTTTCATCGTTGGCCGACGGGTCTGAAAACTATCACCGCTACTTTGACAAGCCCACACCGGCCTACCTCTTTTACAAAATAGATTTCTGTCAATGAGTTAATGAAAAATTATCCACATTGTCATGTGACGAACCAATTATATTTGATTGGCTAGTACTCAATGTAACTTTGTTGTGATTGGACAATCGTATGACCTTCTCCAGGGCCAGTTCATTCACAAACTTTCGCTGTTGCTTGCTGGTTGCTGGCGCTCCTGCACCTAACGACGAGCTCAGTCTTAGACTATCATGACGTCACATCAGCCATACGTGCAACAAATTGAGCGCCATTCACTAAGAACCAAAGTCTTTCTTTGCTTTTCATATACACTCTTTTTTATAACAACCGGTAATATGGATTTCAGGCTTGCTGCTCTTAACGAAAATGCAAGCCTGGATTATTCTTGAATTGTTCTTGATTTTTCTTAAATTGTTTGGGACTGGAGCCTCAAAATTGGTCACAAAGTAAGAACAAATTAAGAACGAACTGAGACCGAACAGCTATAAAATGCAATCTCAAAACGAAAAGCTATTTGCCATCTAGGGGTGCAATTGTAAAACTTTTTCCTCACCTCATTATAGCCCTACCTTAAAAGTGTCCTCCCTAATTTAACTACAAAGGTATAGCCAGTTTATCATAAATGTTCCTAAAACCAAGTCTTAAGTGTAAAACCAAGTGTTCATAAATGTTCCTAATGATTCAAACGATAAAATTTTTGAATGAAAAAGCTGTTAAACACAAACTTTACCAGAATTTCCCTACAGGCAGGGCGTGGCAGCCCAAATTGGAAGGCGTTGCCGTTGTCAGCTATGGAAATAGAAATAGTAATTTTTGAAGATATTACAGTGATATCACTCATAGGCGTAAACTCAGGGGGGCTCTGGGGCTTCAGCCCCTCCTGAAGAAAACCGGGGGGAGTGCTATAAGGAAGGAAGTGCTATATAACCAATTTTTGGATTAGTTTGTTATATTATTGGTTTCACGCATAAGATTTGTTGCATTAGATAATTGCGTTTACAGCAAAATAAAGTATGAAATTGTTGTGAACATAAGGTCAGATCCAACTCGAGGCCAATCCTTCAGAGAGGCTGGAAGCATCAATTTCATTTGTATGTTTCTTCGGAGCTGTCTAGTTTCCATACTACTCGACCTGATGACGTAATTAGTTTACCCTAAACCTAACCCTAACCCTAAACCTAACCCTAACCCTTTACTTGAAATAATTAATCATACTAATTTATGACTATTAATCATGCTTATTTATGACTATCAGGTCGAGCAGTATAAAAACTAGACAATTCCTGTTTCTTCTTCCTCGATATTGCAAAATGCACGGAAAAATCACCTTCAAGCCCTTAACTAATCGACTTTCTATCCTGTGACATCAGCAGCTGCCATTAGGAATTGTCATTAATTTTTTGAGCCCCCCTGAAAAAAATGCAAGTCTACGCCTATGATGTCACTCAAAACAATGAAATGTTTCATCGAGGGGCTAATTTAATAATAATCCCACCCCTTTCTTAGCAGCAATATAAAATGAGCCCAGCAATCAGCATCTTACTAAAAGATTAAGATTCCCAAGGAAACTGAATTGCTTTGGATATGCGTAGATAAGATATCTTTCTATTTAAGCGAATGGTGTCATCCATCAGTTATTTTGGCTTGAATTTGGCTTTCAATGAAACACTTTGCTCAATATTCCAAGTTAATAACTTCTTAAGCAGGTCCCTTGAGGCAGATTTTCAATGTTTGAGGTGTTGACGGAGAAAAACAAAGACAATTCCAGTGTCAGTCTTTTTAATTTACTCTTAGTATAACTTTCGAGGTGATTTTTTCTTATGTCTTAAATCAAAAGATTGTGTTTTAATGATAAATAGTAATTATTTGAACTTATGTATCTAAAAGTTAATTTACATCGATGTTCACTGTCGAAGACGAAAGTCTAAACGTCTACGTGAAAGTGTTTTTTTTAGAATTTATCTTCTTACACTTGAAGTTAGAGCTGCTGATAGTATTGATATAAATATTTTTAAAGATAAACATATATAAATGACAATGTTTATAGCTTTTGTATGCAAGTGAACAAAAATGAATATGTATATAAAGAATGTTCTCGGTATGATTTACCTTCACTCTATAGTTTCCAAACTACCTTAATGTATCGTATAATCAACTCTAAAAAAAACTATTATGAGGAATATTGCAAAATTGAATCTTTAGTCATACTCGCAACTATTTATACTGTAACCAAGTTATACAAGCCCAAGTTAATGAAAAATTTATGTAACTTTCATAGGCTACCAAAGAAAGCTAACAAAGTGATAAGTCTCTAGATAAATTTTAATTCAAATATATTGTGGCCCTTAAAGTGCCGAATGTTCAATGAGCACGTTAGGCCAAATTGTTAATGGTTGGGACTATCAAACAATTTCGAGAAACTTTTTGATAAATTTCATTTACTTATTTGATGCATAATTGTGTAAATATTTAAGGCTCATTTCTTCCCTAACCCATCTAATTCTACTCAAAAGGCAGAAAATGAATTAATCAGAGACCTTGGATCTGTTGACTGATATTTGTGATGTTGTTGACATAATTGTGTTTTCTAAAATTACAAGCTAGTTAAAGACCCTGTGCTCCCCATGAACCTTTGCGAGCTCTCAACACATCAAAATGTAAACACAGCACAAAGTGCCGACCTTTACGTGCGCTAGGTACAAGCTAGTTACAACAGATCTACCCCTTCATCACTGTTCTGTGCCCTTCATAGACATTCTTGTTCCCGCCTGAAGCCATCTGGCCTTATTGTTATTTCTTTTGTGATTTCATGTAGATGATCCATGTAAATTACTCAGCACATGGATTATGACCATAAAAGAACAATACAGTTAGGCGCTGTCAGCGTGATAGAACACCGGGCTCCAAAACTTGATATGAGACATTCATCGTTGACATTAAAGGAAGCTTTCCTTAAAAGCAACAATTCTAATAAATATATGGAACCAAAGCAACAAAGAAGAGAATTTAAAATTACAATCATTCTTTTTGAGCGTTTGACGGAATGAGGAAATTGTTTACCCACAAAACATTGAATTTATATAATAATCTTTTACAATCAATCGTTTCCGACAATTTTAAGTAGGAGAAAATATTCCAAACTTTTTTCAGATTACAAATGGTTGGCAAACCCTGTAGAGAATTCAAAGATGAACTTATTTTATCAAAAATGAATAAGTGCCCGGGAAGTCACTGCAACCTCTCTTTGAAAAATGCGAGAATTAGAAAAATCACTCGATCGAGTGGCAGGAATAGTGTCTTTTTAGATAGCCCTGCAAGTGCAGCAAATTCTTGAGTCGCATGCTTGAGTGGCCATGTCTTATTGTATTCAATTTCAAGGTGAAAGTATCTTCATATTATTGTCTCTCTTAATCATATCGAGCGAGGGGCCAGTTGTCCTCAAAAGCTTCCCATATTTTGTGCCACTGATTTTTCCCGGAACTTTTCCCCCTCCTTACCCCCACTCGACGCTCCCGGATGACGTCATAAAATATATTGTAGGTTCTCTGTGTAATATGAAAGAACATTGTAAAATCTTTCAATATATCACAAAAAATTGAATTTTACTTATATTGGCTGGGATATAGCCAAATAAATTCATTCACAGTTACAAATCACTGCAATTTCTTCTTCATTTGAACTCCATAAACCAATCCAAAACCACTGTAACCATTGGGTAATGTATCTCTGTCAGACTGTACCTAAATTAACTGAATTTGCAATCATAAAAGTATTCAAAATGCAAATTAACAAAAAAAGAGATTTTGTGACGTCAGACTTGTTTTCTCTTTCTCCGGTCGTAAAATATTGGTCGTTTGCCACCTGACAGGTGCAGTTTTACATTATATTTTCTCGTCCATCATGAAAAAGTGCAGCTTTGATTTTGTCTATTGCATTTCTTAGCATTTTTTCATTTCATTCTGGATTGATGGCCTTTTCCAACATATAAAAACCAAGCATCGGTTCATTTCATCCGAATTTTGTAGGATTGAACTTTCTTAAATCAATTCATTGGTTTTCCAATAACCAGGATGAAATTGAATGAAATTTTCCCAAAAAAGGAATTAAACCTCCTTTCTAATTTGGCATAAAAGAGTGATGTCATTTGTGCTTTGCAAGCTGAATTTTTATTAAGTTGGAATAAATCCGATTTGTTGTGTATTCGCTATAATGTTCAGACAATCTTGATATTTTTGTTGAATATATCTTACGATATTGAAAGCTCATTCATTTGATCTGAATCTACCACCGGTTGGCGTAGTTGATTGCCAGTCGGGAACTGCCTTCATTGTGGGCGTGCCTTCCATCAGAATCTGCCTCTAGTTATGCATATCTAGCATCTACGTTGGCTAATGCGCTGGCTGACGTTTACGCTTAAGGCTGCAAGCAACTGAAATAGCGACAATTACAGCTGATAAAATGTTTGACGTGGAAATATAATCCTAGTAGAAAGCTTAGTAGAAGTAACATGGGCTTTAATCTTGAATAGATGTCATTAACATTTAAAAGACAGCTGGTAAGCACATTTCGTTCGCAAAAAAGGAATTTTTTTAGAATAAAATGCTTGTAATTTCTCGGGAAAAGCGCATTATGTCTTGGTGATGATGTTTTAATTACCCATGATTTGAATCTGAGGTGAGTTTTAAATTAGAAAAAAGATTTTTGTGACATCAGTATTTGGGAGTATGGTTCTGTCTTTATTCTAAAATCTATTACCCAAGCCAAAACAATACCTTGGGTGCCAGAGTCTCCATAATTTTGTCTCAGAAATATAGTTCCAACATTCATACTTTGCTGCAGCGGTCTACGATACTTTATCCCTAGTTTTTTGAAGCTCTGGGACAACCAAAACAGCAGAAATCCATTAGCGAAATTCGGGTTTTTACTTGCCATTTCTCACAGTCACTTTGCAATAGGTTTAACAGATTTGGCAGTTTTGAGGATATTTTATGGTGTTCATTTGGATTTAAAGTTGATAATTCTAAAAATGATTGCTATGACATCA